AGTAGTCACATCGTAGGTGCATAAAACATATCCTTGTCAGAATTTTCCAGGATTTAAGAATATGTTATACTTTCCTTTCATCAACAGATGGCACTCTCAGTTTAGGTTTTAATGTTAACCAGTTTTAATCACATAATAAGTCAAAATATAGAAACAAAGTTAGTTTTTAGGTAGATAGTTCCAGTATTTTTAAAATGCCTTTCCAGAACAATGCCTGCTCAGTTTAAAAGTCCAATTTTCTGTATTTTTAAAAGTTTTTTTCTTTTACTATTTTCCCCTTAATTCTTTTCTTTCAATTCTGAAGTTTTTCTCAAAGTGCTTAGTCACTGCTTTAGCAAATAATTATGAGCCTCTCTTTTCCTGGATTTTTCCTCCTGGGGGTTAGGTTTTAAATAAGAAAGAATCCTCTCATCCAGTTCCAGGCACAGTTCACTAACTCTGCTCCAGCACGAGTCTTAGGTGTTCCTCAGCTGCCCCAGCTTTGTGGCAGCCATATTTAGGATGCCTCTTCTTCTCATCATGGCTAAGAGGGAAAATAACCCTGGAGTCCAGCAGGAGAGTTGCAACTCTCCGTGGTCTCACATGGTACCCTTCTTTGCTTTGCTGCCCCTACAGGGTGACTTTGGCTCCTTTTGGAGCCCACCAACAGGGAGAACTGGGCACGGGAGCACGGAGACATGCTCCTCGTATCCGATCTTGCTGCAATGTCAATCAGAAGTTCTGATTTATCAATTGTTTGTAACTTATGATTAATTATTATAACAAAGATTTATGATATCTGAGCTATTACTTGCTGTTTGTATGTACAATATGAGTTTAGGCACTGGAGAAAAATTCCTTGTGTGTCACACTTGAGCCATAAAGAATTCTATCCTGTTCTGTTCTGTTCTGTTCTGTTCTATTCTACTCTACTCTATTCTACTCCATTCCACTCCACTCCACCCCACCCCACCCCACTCCCACTCCACTCTATTTAATACATATATTGAAAAACATAATAAAAGAACAGTTGAACAATATAAACAATATAAATCAAGAATAGCAACTAATAAAACAAAGCATATTTATGTGCATATGCTTTCCAAATTATCAGTTAGTTTTATTGAAAATTCATTGTTTTGCTCTGTTGATACATGACAGAACCTATTGATACAATACCTCTATAGGACACTTACTTTGTCAAACATGAAGACTTTATTAATGTTACCACTAAGGGGCAATATTGTTCCAGAGATCATAGCATTGGCATCTTGGATAGCCTTACACACATGGTGCGTATTGGCATTTTCTTCAAACTGCATATTCACAAAAACAATGGTAACAGGACGTAGCTCTGACAAATACTCTAGTGGCTGGTTATCATCTATCTAGAAAATAGTAAAAGAACATTAACTTTTTATAGGCACTTGCAAAGAATAAAACTATATTCAAGTATCCTAACCTAAACTGAAAGTTAGCAATTTTCATAATATAGAAGTACTTTTAAAAATGGATTTCAAAGTGAACATTTTATCACCAGATTATCCTAATTTTTCTTACAACTATCTTCTACACTAATTAATGAAAAAAATAATTTTTTAATTTTAAAAGCAAGAAAAAATATTTTATTATTAAAAAGAAAAAATAAATCATATAAGGTACCATTCTCTAATTTATATATAGCAGCGGTCTCCAAACTTGGTAACTTTAAGACTTATGGAGTTCAACACCCAGATTTCCCCAGACAGCATCGCTGGCTGAGGAATTCTGGATGTTGAAGTCCACAAGTCCTAAAGTTGCCAAGTTTGGAGACCCCTGATCTATAGTTTCATCTGATTCTTAGTTTTAGGTTTTAGATTAGAATACCATTAGTCTTTAATAATACCAACAAATTTAACTGTACCAAACTCCTTGTGATTTTGCAGCAAAAGCTATTCTGAAGATTATTATTCAACATCCTATTAATTAATGAGTGCAACCATTTTGTTCATGAATACATTTTTATGTATTTAATCAACACTCAGGAATTTACTTCAGTTTGATACTACAAATTTGTAAAAATGTCAAATAAATATTTTAGATAGATAGATAGATAGATAGATAGATAGATAGATAGATATAGATATGTACACTAAATATGTGTATTAGTCTTTGTTTAATATAATCAAATATTAATTATGCTAAAAATCCAACACAATTATATTTAATAAATATTTTTCTACTAGTGTTTTTCAGTCGATATATCTGAATATAGAAAATTGGCTATCATCATCTAATGTTCTAGACAGCTTAAATCAGATGTGTCCAACTTTTTGGCTTGATTTAATTTAAGGAATGTGTTTTAAATCAAATTTGCAGATAAACAATTTATTGAAGTCACAGACATAAATTAAAGAAAAATGTAAGGCGGTTAACTATATTGCAAAGGGAAATGTTAACTAAAATAATTTTCTAAAACTGTATCAACCATTTGGCACTGAATTAGATTAGTATATCCCATAGTTTTCAAAAACAAGCATTAAGATAGCTGCTTAGCTTAATACATCTGTTTTATATTTTTAAAGAGAAAGAGAAGGGTGAGGGGGAAAACAGATTCAAATCAAAATCAAATCCTTCCTTATTTATATATTCTTTGGTCACTGCCAATTTTAGTGTACCAGTGAAGGTGCTGGCCTAGACACCAGAGACTGTGAGCTCAAATCCCATTGACATGAAAGCCACCAGGGACTTTAACAGTTTAACAGAGTTGGAAGGGACCTTGTAGGTCATCTAGTCCAACCCCCTGCCCAAGCAGGAGACCCTAAACAATTTTTGACAGATGGTAGTCCAGTCTCTTCTTGAAAGCTTCCAGTGATGAAGCGCCAACAATTTTAGAAGGCAACTTCTGTTCCATCGGTTGATGGTTCTCACTGTCAGAAAATTTCTCCTTATTTCCAGGTTGAATCTCTCCTTATTCAGTTTCCATCCATTATTCCTTGTCTGGCCTACAGGTGCTTTGGAAAATAGCTTGACACCCCCCCCTTCTCTGTGGCAGCCCGTCAAATATTGAAACACTGCTATCATGTCCCCCTTGGTCCTTCTCTTCACTAGTCTAGCCATGTACTTGCAACCGTTCAGCTCCAGGATGCATTAGGAGCATCTCTCATTGCCATAACCTCAAAGCTCAATAGGCAAGGTGAAGACTCAGCATTGGTAAGGCTTAGTGCTGAATCAAGCTAGCTCCTCACCTTTGGTGCCATTTATGAGAAAAGCCCAGAATTGACCAATTTATTCAGAAAGAACATAAGAAGACAAAAGTTAGCATTAAATGCAAAGCTGGCAACATAATATATCAGTAGCACTTAGTCATATACTACTTTATAGTGCTTTACAGCAAGGATCCCCAATCCGTGGGCCATGGCCCATTATCGGTCCATGACCTATTTGCAACTGGACCAGGTCATACAAGTGCTCAGGGCCTTACGTATGCGAGCATCACACGCATTTGAAATCTCACTTGCTAGAGCGTCGTGGGAGCTCAGGCCCCACTCATGTTACTAATGGGTGCTTGTGTGTACATGCCCCTCCCATAAAACCACCCCATCATTCTCCCCTCTTCCCCCCTGCTCTGGGCCCAGCCCAACCCACCTCACAGGGTGGTGGTTGTGGCAAAACTAAAATGCAGGAATATTAAGTATGTTCACCACTTTGAGATGGATAGATAGATAGATAGATAGATAGATAGATAGATAGATAGATAGAT